TAAAGGCCAGGGTCGCCCCTCTAAAGGCAGTCTCAATACCCAAGCTAGAACTGGCCGTAGCAGTATCAGCCGTGAGGGTAACGAAGGTGACCAAAAGATGTTTTAACTCGATTGGATGGACCGTAACTTACTGGCTGATTCCGCTTTAATTCTTCAGTATGTTAGGAATGTACGGACGCGCTTCGGCACATTTGTTGCCAACGGGTTAGCGGACATTCACGAAGAAACGGAGGTACGTCAATGGCGGCACATAAGATTCTGTGACAATCCAGCCGACTATTGCTCTAGTAGTATGCTGAACTTGGAAAAAATAAAATCGTCGTTACATGGAACGGCATTCCTGGCAGAGCAGCCCAGCGAATAGCTCGACACTCAGATGTCCCTTGTCGCAACGGAGTTATTAGAGAATAAGAGAACTCTAACGTGTTCGCGTACCGGACCAGGTTGAGGATCACACCCCCTGCCTCACCTACAAGGTACTTTAAGGTTAGGTGTCTAGCGTGTAGTCAGTCCCACATCAAAGCGACCAACGCCTAATTAATCTAAATAATGCAAATCACCGCTTGATCGATTGAAGCCCCGAACCAAATGAACTTGTCTCCAGAAGCGAGCTGTATTGCAGCATAAAGTGAAACATGTTCCTTTACCGACGTATTTTTTCTGGCTCTATCCCTTCCTTTCTATTCCTGTCCTCATGCCTCCACCATCAGACAGCATTTGTTCCACAGATCGCCTCTCCGTATTTCCTCGCACTGTTGTCGTAAGTCCAATCCTTCGGAGACCAGTTTTACCATTATTTCCAGTTCTANATCCCTGGTTATATATTCGCACAGTTGGCCATCCTCCTTAGCTCAGAGTAGTGCTCTACTACCGTCACTTTACAGTTCGGGGATTGTATGTTGCATGAGCACGCCTGGATATTTGGTGTAGACATGTGCACACATCAGACCGAACTAGGGTGTCCGAAATAAGGAGCAATATACCATCTCCACCCCTAACGCCTCCCATGTCAGCCCTGTACGCGCAGTAAACAGTGAGTTGCAAGGGTTCCGATGTAATGGCCCGATGTACCCATGTATCGATAACCACAATACAGTGTGTTCCTACAAGGTATTTTAAGGTTAGGTGTCTAGCGTGTAGTCAGTCCCACATCAAAGCGACCAACGCCTAATTAATCTAAATAATCCAAATCACCGCTTGATCGATTGAAGCCCCGAACCAAATGAACTTGTCTCCAGAAGCGAGCTGTATTGCAGCATAAAGTGAAACATGTTCCTTTACCGACGTATTTTTTCTGGCTCTATCCCTTCCTTTCTATTCCTGTCCTCATGCCTCCACCATCAGACAGCATTTGTTCCACAGATCGCCTCTCCGTATTTCCTCGCACTGTTGTCGTAAGTCCAATCCTTCGGAGACCAGTTTTACCATTATTTCCAGTTCTAGTGACATGCATTTTCAATGCGTCCTCCACTCTTCATAAATTCGTCGGTGACCTTGTCCGGTTTGTGTTCCTTTTATACTGTGTCTTCGTTCTGATCCCCACCACTTTTATTGTCTACCTATGTACTTGCACTGTTACTGTACACATGCTCGCTCTGATCATTTGATCATGCCTTGTGCATGTCTCAAGTGCTCCGTGAAATATACCTATTATTATTATCATTATTATTGTTAGTCGCTGTTTCAAACAAAATCTTACTGCAGAAACTGCTTCATTTTTCGCGATGGACGAAGGTGCTGAGGGTGGTTGTGTAATAATCGATCTGTGAAAATCCTTCCTGAAATGCCCAATTAAGCTATCTCGGTTCCACATTCCGTGAACTTCACGTTTCATTTACTTAACACCACCCGCGTCAAACATACATAAGCATTTGTCATTCCAATCCCTTTGTATATTTACACATCGACCTTACCATTTGACCTTGTTTGTTTATCTGCTTCATTCGTACCCTGCTTGTTTTAATCGCAATCTGAGCGCTCACATTTGGCTCGTTCGTGTGCAGCGTGACGGTGAGCGTGCTGTTCTTACCCAGGCTTATTTTCTTCCGTTCATATTTGTTAAATTACGCTCACGGTGACACTTGGCTCTTGTTTTCAAGTTGTTTCGAGATCACTTTGAGGTTTGTACAGTTTTTATTTGCTTATTCGATCGTTTATTAATGCAGTGCCGTAGAAAGTTGCTAGATGATTAGTTTTCCTGACGTTTTGGGATCCGATTTCGGCTACGTATTACTCGTTGATCTATTCAGGAAATACAGATTGTCTGATGGACAAGCCTCAAACGACAACTCGTTATCCTGAGAGCACTTCGAACTGATGACACCTTGAAAATTGGGCCCATCGTTCCAACTGAATTGAAAACAGCAAGAGCTGATGTTGTTTGCATGGTTCAATTAAAAGCCTTCCCGTCGAAGCATCAGAGGTTACGCAAGAGAAACTGTGATTCCGACCGACGTGCATTACATTTCAGCTTTCACCGAAAACTCTGTATAATATTCGTAGATGGTTTGTTGAAACTCCGCAGTAGACTGAAAAACTCTGAATTGGATTTTGATGCAAAACACAACAATATCTTGCCCAACAATCACCACATCACACACACTCGTCAACATATTCACATGCAGGAACGTCATGCCGGGAAACCACCTACTCAGTACGATTCTCCGTCGGTTTTGAATGGTGAAAGAGAGAGCTACGGTGAAGCGCGTCGTGGGTAACTGTCTCTTTTGTCGTCGCCAGAATGCTACATTCAGCAAACATTTGATGGCCTCGTTACCAAGTTCCTGAGTACGACCATGTCGGTGGCCCTTCGCCGAAACTGGGGTGGACTACTTCGGGCCACCTTGGGTGAGACGAAAACGTCGACAGAGAAACGATGCGAATGTCTGATGGCCTGCCTGCAGTCGCGAGCTTTGCATATAGAGACCGTACACAGTATGTCGACCGACTCCGTTCTTATGGCCTGGCAGAGATTCGTGGGTAGACGAAGTAATCCATCGAATGTGTTCTCCGACAACGGGTCCAATTTCGTCGGTGCACAGAAGGAGTTGAGCGACTGGTTGATGCGGTTAGATAAACGCGCCCTGCAAGACCGACTGTCGCCATCTGAATCGATCGGTACGAAAAATATTGACAGAATTATGTGAACAACAGGCGTCGGACGATTAAACTTTGGGCACATTTCTGGTAGAGGCCGAAAGGATACTCAACAACCGACCGCTTGTACTCGTCACCCGCGATAACCTGCAAGGACTAAAGCTAACTCCAAGTAACCTTCTGCTATTGAGGTCCAGCGATGGCTTAGATATGCCAAAAGCTATCAGTGGCTGCTATACCTCGGATTGGAAGCATGCGAGCTACCTGGCAGGGGTGTTTTGGAAGCGTTGAACAAGCGAGTACGTGCCAACCATTCAAGCTCGACAGAAGTAGTTGCATAGAGAACGGTCATTGAAGGTTGGGGACGTTGTTCTTGTGGCCGACGAAAAGCTACAACGCGACAACTGGCTCCTGGGTGTAGTCATAGAAAGCCACACGGACCCAAACAGATTAGTAAGAACAGTGAAATTGAAAACATCTGCCGGTGAACAGGCGCGCGATATTCAACGAGTGTGTTTATTGGAGGAAGATGACCACCATACCGTTACTTGATGGAGTTTCGGAGACCCGCCGTGTATTATATTGGCTTACCTGCCCCTTGTATCAATTGCGCCCCAGTGATATTCACCCCATCTGTATAAACACGTGCTTCCACGTCCTTGCCATACGTTTTCTCCATTTCATTTCGTGACTGAAAGTCCCTTTATCAGATTGATACACAATTTATGACATTAACCTCCAAGGTGTGACCCATGTCCTCATAGCATTCATCCAATTAAATACACACAATCACCTGCATGCTGAACATGAGTTTATTTGTAAAACTTGAACATTAATTACACCGCCCACATTCGCCCCTCGTTTTTTAGACATCGAGATATTATCTGTAATGATATTCATTTGACCCACTGCTATCAAGTTATTGTGTGACTAGCTGCAAGCGTGCTGATGCAGAAGGCAGATCTCGACCAAGAAACGTGCAAGTCGTCGGAGGTCAAGATCAACGAGTGCGGAGAAGGCTGAACAGTTAGAAGTTAGAAGCACTGACAGCAGAGACTAGGTAGGTAGATAGGTAGACAAGAATCAATGACCTGCGCCAACCCTTTGACTGAGACGAGCGCAGGAAGGATTTTGGCGGTCGGTGTATTTCATGTTGAATTTTTTTGAAAATCCTTTCAAACCCATGATGATTTATGGTGACATAACTCTATCTGTATGTTGCTTCTCTATTGAAATTTCGCAATCACAAACACCATAAATTATTCTTTTTCTGTTAATTCGATGCCCGGTACATTTGGATTTTGCGTGGTTTGAGAATGTGAGCGACTGTTTTGTTTCATCTTGGCATCATATTTGGCTCGCTTGCTTGAGTGCTCCCGGCCGCATATTTGAGGTTTGCCTTATTGTGCGTTTTGTAATGATTTTTCCATTTCAGTACCGTAGAATATTACGGATCAATCGTGTTTTATTTGGGATTCGTATCGGCTTCGGCCACGCGTCACTCAAAAGCGAATTGGTTGACGTGCAGAAGACACTCAACTGTTTTTCCTGCTGGCCTTTTTCTTTTGAGCTTTTTATCCTCTTTTAATTTCAATGAACCTTCACTTGCTACTACCGCTGGCGCCCTCTCGCTGTCTATATTATCCTTGCTTGTACTTCTTCCATCCCAATCATGTCTGTGTCATCACCAGATCAATTCCCCTGTTGAGTCTCTCACTAACACTTTGGAATTTGCAGGCTTATCCCTTTCATGATTTAGTCGCTGGACAGACCGACCGCTAAGTGGCTTACAGATACCAACTGTGATCCTTCATGCACGAAGTGGAATCTGTGCCTGCAGGTAGGAACATCCGAATCTGCTTACCCTATCCTAACAGAAGAGAAATTTCATTTCTCTTATTCTCGCACCACCGGGGGATCTAAGGAGCTCACCAGTTCAAGAACCTGGCAATTGCCGTCACGGTCCTGGCGCGCGGTTTGAATACTGGACGTGGTTTGTCGTTGTTTTTAGTCTATTTTTAGATTATCGTAACATTTTTCTAACGTTTATTGTAGTGCTTTTATTATTCATGTGTCCTTGAGTACTGCTCTTCAGTTTAATTCGTCGCGGAACTCAGGTTGTTTCGTTTTGATATATTTTCGTTGTTAGACTTGTCCAAGTCTTTGGGTATATTTACCTATTACTGTTCTTGTCTGTATTCCTATAGTATCCCTATTGGTTTTTACAATTTTTATTTAATTTGTATGATACTCAAGGATAACTAAATAAATAATAATCTAGGTCATTTATTAAAAGTCATGATTATAGGAGGGGATAGGACGAAAGTCAGCAAAGTGCCGAACATCACATCAACTAGAGTTCCACGCGGCAACCCCAAGTGTACCAAGCCTGTCGTCCGTAGCGGTATTCAATGTAACACATGCAAGTCCTGATATTACACGATCTGCAGTAAAACTGACAGCAGAGCATATGAGCTACAAGTTAAGCACGACTTTCTGCAGTGATACTGCTTGGCCTGTGGGCAGATACTGGCGGACCTAGTGTGAAACAGAACCAAGAAGGCGGTAGAATTGACTGAGGTTAATACTCAAACCGAGATGGCTTTGGATGCTAAGACCGTCAGCAGAGAGATGAACATCATCGTGGTGATAAAAATCAATCGTTTGCCTAGCAACCCAAATGCTGGACCAAGAGAAGCTAAGATCAAGCCAGCACATCGAAAAGGGTGCCAAAAAGACAACGGTGCAACCTCCTTCAGAGTGAAAAACCGTGCATCCCAAGGGCACTGTTACACTCAGACCCATACAGACTGGCCCTAGCACCCGATCGGTCATAGTATTTAACCTACCGGAATCCAATTCATCATCGCTGGCCAAGAGGGACATCCACGATAGCACCGTTTTCCACCAACTGTGTATCGACATGTCGCTCTCTGAGCGGAAACCACTAACCCTCAGGCAACTAGCACGGAGCCAGGACTGCTTATACACAGGTGACTCTTGGCTCAGTGGGTGACACAAACAGACTTCTCACATCGGCGAAGGCTATAATCGCATCCTCTGAAGTTCGCATCAGACCTGACCTCCCCAGGTCCGTCCGAAAGGACCCAACGAGTCCCAAGAACCCATAAAGAACACGGTTCTGGGCAAAGAGCATCATCTTGCACGGATTCCCCGAATCAAGGAGCGGCAATCTCCCAAATAATGCACAGCGTGACCTTTCCCAATGGACCTATGTAGCTTCCAAGCTTAAAATTGTGGGAATAGTGCTTAGCGGCCTAGTCCGACTGCCTAGGCCAACACATTTGATGCACATACCCTAGCCCAGACTTCTTAGAGGCACACTTATCACCGAATCCATGGCTCAAGAGACCCTTAAGAAATGGCATTCTCTGAGAAACAAGTTCTCCTCAGACCTGCATCTCTATCGATGCAGACCAAGGAGTAAACGCCAAGAGATAATACATGGAAGTGCACTCTTGGACGCACAGCCAGTCCTGCGTATGACCACTGTGTAAGGTAGCATGGTCAATCGCAGTGCTCCCATTGCCAGGGAAAAAAACCGATATTGCCAGCTCTGTTTGAGCTGGCAGTCTAAATCAAGTTGGTACACATTACGCACATAGCTCCCAATTGGGACTCCCTGCACAGTCATGCATATCAACACAAACTCCGGAAAAGGCGAGCAGCCATTCCGACTTGTCTACAGACAATCTGACCCAAATAAGCAACAACATGGTAGTCGAGTCATGGGGCTGTATGTACGTACACCAACAGCCAAAGTCCATTAAACAAGCTGTGTGAGCTCCGCCTCCAAGTCAAACAACACCGGCCACCACTGATCGGTATAACGGAAACCTGGGCTCACTCGGGGATATCGGATGCCGAACTGGAAATTCTCAAGCTAGACATCA